ACAGAGAGTGCAACACCCCACACCGTCACGCAACACACAGAGAGTGCAACACCCCACACCGTCACGCAACACACAGAGAGTGCAACACCCCACACTGTCACACAACACACACAGAGTGCAACACCCCACACTGTCACGCAACACACACCCTAGGGCTCCTAAGGTCATCAGAATCCCTTTACAGCCTTTGGCAAACATTTCTGTATCTTCTTCCTCTTTCAGTACAAAGAAACTTATATTTCCACCAGCTTCAGATATTTCCTGTCTAAAAAATATCAGCTATTTCCATAGCTTGTTAAGTGGCAAGAGGCATGTGTGTATTAGTGGATATATTTGTAATACGGTTTCGCTAATTGGAGGAGAACTGAGCCCCATATGGAAGGCACAGTGGAATGCAGATATTAGTACACAGATGTGTCCTGATTGCTTGTACAGTAAGTGTGGAGACAGGAGGAATATGGCTTCCCTCTCCAGGGCAAGGTGTGCCTAGCAGCATCTGGCACAGACCACTCACTGTCCTTTAACCAGTCAGTGGAGATCCAGTCAGTGTTTTCACCTGCAAGTGCCGGGGGGGGGATGGAGGTGGGAGGGGGCAGTACAGTTCAGTCAGATGGGGTCTGTGCTGCAGTAGTGACGCCTGTTGTCAGCTAAGCATTAGAGCAATGCATTGCATTCCAAGAGAACTGCACCTGTCCTCCTGAGGACGCCCGAGCTCGGCTGTTTGCAGTCTAGGATCGCCTCTTTAACAGTATCTATTGGTCCAGTGTCTCTGACCTCACTCGACAAGCATGTCAGCAGTCAGCTTCTCCTACTGCGGTCAGGTGGAGGGCTTCAGTGGCAGTATGGAGTCAACAACATTTAGTGACTCACAGTGAATACACCGAAGGGAAAACATTTGTCAGCTCTAAATGCATGTAAAAATGATTGTCCCCGTTCCTCCTTTCTTTTATAGTTCTGCTTCCTCATATAACTTTTATAGCTAGAAAAAGGAATTGGTTTCTAAAACATATACATTTTTATTATTTTTATTTTACTGCTTCTAAAATAAGTGAAATAATGGGTTGCACGCCTGCTGGTAACTTCCAGTACAACAAAAGATCAGTTGTTCCCATAATTGTCTTAATAAACACAGTAAAGAATAATTCGGGCCCATGATAACATTAGTAAATACAGCAAAGGATTAAATGAGCTCAGGAGAGCATTAATAAATGTGATAGATAATTACTTGTGGCCATAATAGCATAACTAAATTCACTGAGGAATTAACTTCACAAGTTCACTAGACCATTACTAAATAAATTACATGATTATCTAACCTTAATTACTTTACTGTGCCCAAACAGCAGTCCATGTATTTACTAGTATTATAGAACTTGGCTTAAAAGGTTGATTACTTCATAATTACAAAGACATTCTTTGATGTTAATTTAAAATAATACCTTTTTTTTGGTAACAGATTCAGTAATATTTTGAGTTAAATGCTCTGTATGTACAGTATGTAAATATTCATCTTTTTTTTGTAGTCCATATAGTTTTAATCTACATAGATTTAACACCACCTACTAAGCTGCAATTCCTTCTTCCCCCAGCAGGGGGTGATAGTGACCGGTGATGAGGAATACTTTATTGAGCCTCTGGTCTTGGCCGAAAATCTGACCAGTTTCGAGGAGAGAGAGGGGCGCCCCCATGTGGTGTACAAGAGATCCTCGCTTAGACACCAGTACATGGACCAGTCCTGTGGAGTCATTGGTAAGGAGCAGCGGCCGGTTGAGAAATTTAGATTAGCAAGCTTTCCTCTGAATTGCTGTTACAGGCAGTTAAGGTGGGTGAGCCATAGAAGAGAACTAGCAGATAGTCTGCTGTTTCAGGCTCAGGATGACTTTGTGAGACAGACAGGCTGTGGCCAACTAAGCTTACCCTGTCCGTGTTCTCCCTGCCAATGGAGCAATCATGCATCACCCATCTGTCTGCCGTCCATCAGCTCTGTTGTTAAAGGTATGAAGTAATATCCTGGACGCACTGCTGGGGTAGAATGATCACCGCAGTGAGTGAAGAGCGCGGTGCTGGAGAGCTCCCCCGGGCTGCGTCACATGGGGAGCCGGCCCTGTCTGCCGCCGCTGGGAGGGCAGATCCGCGCTGAGGCTGGGTCTCGAGCCGCTTCGCTCCTGACGGCCGCCCACTTCCTGTCGTTCCAGACGAGAAGCCGGGCAAGGGGTTGCCCTGGTGGTTGCGCCACCTGAAGCCCTCGCCCCACCAGATGCCCCGAGGGCAGTGGCCCCTGAAGCGCTCGGTCAGCAGGGAGCGCTACGTGGAGACACTGGTGGTGGCGGACAAGATGATGGTGGGCTACCACGGCCGCAGGGACATCGAGCAGTACATCCTGGCCGTCATGAATATTGTAAGTTGTATATCAAATCGCCAAAGGTGCACCCAGGCTGCACCATTCGGTCTGCCGTCTAGCAGCTTTGCTCTTAAAGGCGTGATGTAATGGATGTACCGCTGGTGTGAAATGATCACCTCGAAGAGAGCATTCCTCGTTCGCCAGAGTGACTGTAAAAGCACAGTGCCGGCAGCAAAGCCTCTGCCTCAGACATTGCACAGTCTCCATTTGTGTCATCTTCATGAGCGGGCTGTTCAATCTGACTGGATTTCTCTCTGTTGAAGAGCCACAGAATTATGTTTCAATTCAATTGGCCACTTTTAATACTGTATTTCCACCTTCAAAAGGAGGAGACTGCGGGTCCTTCTCGGTGTTCAGCATGCAGTGTGGCCTGCACATGCTGAGAGTCTGACAGCTGGACTGGGCGAGAGGGCGGTCTTGTACTGTGAATGAGATGGCACTGCTTTTGAATGCCTAGTTGCTGCCAAAGGCCTATGGTCACGGCCCTTTACCTGAGTCTTGTACACCCTTGTGCAGCTTTGATAAGTAGGTAGTTTGTTTCCCTCTTCGTTTTGTGTGACTCTGTTTTGACCTTTGGAAATGTTGAGTGAGGATGTTCATGAGGATGCAAATCAGTTTTGGGTTGAAATCCCTAAATCTTCCAAAATTGTACAGCACGATCTCAGCCTGGGATCATTACTTTGAATATAATTGAAACAAGATCTGCAGCCTGGTCTCCTCATCTCTGGGGAAGCACTGCCCAGGGTGAAATGGGTCTGAGTTAGAGCTGAGTTCGACAGCAGCCCTGTGGGAGTTTTCAGGTTCCTGTACACAGTGTTGTGAGCTGCATCACTCCTCCAGTGGAAGCCAGCTAGCCTGTGTGGAGAATGACTCCGCCAAATTTAAAATCCAAGTGCAGCTCTCAGATTAAACCGGACATCTGTAAGAATACATGTAAAGTCGTGCATTAAAATGAGATGAATCTATTTTATTACTGATAAAGTAGAATTAAATAGAAACAAATTATATTTTTGCTAAGATGTTTTTTTAGTATGTCAGATAAATTCTGAAGCAGAAACAGTTCGATAGAAGTGCATTCACCAATCCAAATGCAGCTGGGAAAGGATAAGAAATTAAGCTACAGAAGTGATCAGGTGAGGCAGGATTTGGCTGACAGAAGAACAGTTCTTGAAGATGCTGTAGGAAGAGAACCAATTGATCACAGGAGCCCTTTTTAAGACTGGTCTTTTCTTGTTTCCTGGAGGTCAGGTTGCCAAACTGTTCCAGGATTCTAGCCTAGGGAATGCAGTGAACATCGTGGTGACCAGACTCATCCTGCTCACAGAGGACCAGGTATTATTGCTGTGGCCATTCTGTCATGCTTGGGGGAAATGTGAGTGTGACTGGAAAGATCCCGCTCATGATGGCGATCAAGGACATGGTGCTATTAAATCTGAATCCAGATCTTTCCACCCAAGAGGTTATTGATTGTATTTAACACAGAGTATGTGCTCCTTGTATATTCCACCTTATATCTGAAAAGTGATATGGTTTGATGCTCTGAATATGTACTATATGTAGACTTACCCTTCCCTCAGACAAGACATAGACTTCAATAGGTTGCAATGCTTTCTACATCATTCCTTTCTATCTTTCTATCATCTTGCTAAAAAGTTCCTTTTAAATGGTTAAACAAATCCTGGGGATGTGCGTTCCTAAATCCAGATTGTATCCATGAAATAAACTATGGTCCGACTCCTTTCCTGTGGCACTCAGAGGTGTTCCTGTGGTCTAGCCTGTGTGTCTCCATTCTCTGTGGGTGTTCCTGCAGCCTAGAAACGGGGCCACAGTGCAAGTTGTTACTTGGCTATTATCAGTTGTGATTCGCCCATGGACCTTTCAAGCTTGTGTGTTCCATGTTTGCAGGGTGTTGCAGGTCTCTCTACCTGCTGCTGCTGATGACATCAGGTTTAAATTGTTTTCTTTAAACCTAGACCACTGTGAAAGTGCTCTGTTGTGATTCTGACTCCTCAAGCTTGGATCCTACTGTAGCACCAAACCATTTCATGGTGGTTTAATGAGCACTTTCCTGAAGACAATCTAGAATACATACAGTGAATGACATCAAGCAAATATACTGCATGTGGTTTTTGTGATGCAATTACCAACTTATTAGGCGTGTGTGAAAATCATTAGTAGTCCAAAAATGCCAAACAGACATTCCAGGCCCTAGTTTGTTTGCCACAGGAAATCCTAGTGTGTCAGGGTCTCTAAAAATGTTTTCATTTAAATGAGGTAAAACAAATTGCTGTTTCCCAAATTAGAATGGAGTTTCCAGCTGAAAACTACCTGGTAGTTGAGTGGTCAGAGTCTTAAGGATGAGATAATGCTGACTTAAGTCACACTGTCCATTTCTCTGATATAAGTATAACGTATGTGTTGCCCACACACTGTCACCTCTGCCAGTAAAGAGCTGTCTCAACATTTGTCCTTGACAGAAGCACTTCATTGTGCAACGTGGCTTCCTTATTTTAAGAAGCATAAGCATCGGGTTGAGTGCATAATGGTTGGAGTGCTGCCTCACTGTGTCGTGGGTTTTCTTTCAGCCTGGGATATCTCTCTATGTGTCTGCGCAGTCTCCCTGGGTCAGTGCAGGTTTGTGCTGTGGGCTAAGGTTTCCTCTTGCCTTCCAAAGGCATGCTGGCTGGGTTTATGGACATTTCTCTAACATGTTCCAAAAAAGCCCACCCTGATACACTAAACTGAGCTCATCCCCTCAATGAATGTCCAGACTTCCCATTTATAAGGAAGATGTCTGTTGTCTCTTCAGAGACCTAGTGGTGGGCCACACTTGGCTTTTGAGTGCCAAGTTTCCAACTATATTTATCACTACTCTACCACTCTACAGAGACCATGGAGGATTCTGATTTGCTGTATATCCAGGAATACTTCAATAAAAAAATACAAAATTCTCTCTGGTTGTATCAATTACTAGTTAAATCCACTCCAAATCAAACACAAATACTTAGATGTTTCTTCATTATCTCTCCAAAATCCATCTATCTTGTCTGGAATTAGGACTACAGACTGGCTGCTGATGTTAAAACACAGGATCTACTCCTGTTCTATTTACATTCCCCAACGTCCATTCTTGTCCTGACTCTCACCCTGAACTGCAGGAGTTTAGACACAGCTCCCAGCCTGTGCCCACCTGGCTACTAATATAACCCGATAGTAAATCCTGTGGAATTACCCACTGGGCTAATTAAATTACCCTTTTTCCTTCCAGTGTAATTCCTGTCACTCAGGTCACTTATCAGGCAATCAAGCCAGATGTATCTAGTTTTCACTCACAATGAAGGCCAAAGCCTTGGCTCACACCATCACAACAATCCAATAGCTGTGGTCAGGGAGAAAAGAGAGTGAAGAATCCAGGAATAAACACAGTGCAAACTCAAGATTTGGGATCTAAGAGCAAAGCTAGGGTCATAGCAAACTCTACACCAGAGTCCAGAGAACTCCCAGATCAGTTTAATTAACCTGAATCACCTGAGGCGGCCGCGGTCATAAATTGTCTCCAGGTGGTACAGGTCTCCTGTCAGATTGGTGTCCATGGCAACCAGCACTGAGTGACAGGTGAGAGGAGGTTTGGCCTGTTACCATGGCAATGCTAGCATGCTCTGCATGGTTCCAACAGGAGCAAACATGACAGGGTGCTCTTCCTATTTGCTTCATGTAAAGTTTCATGTTCTTTTGCATAGTGCATTGTTTCTCTCTGTTTTGTCTTTGTAGCCAATGTTAGAAATCAACCACCATGCAGGCAAATCCCTGGACAGCTTCTGCAAGTGGCAGAAGTCCATTCTAAACCGCAATGGAAGTGGCAACTCCATCCCAGACAATGGCATTGCTCACCATGACAACGCAGTGCTCATCACAAGGTTAGGTTGCACCTGAAGGCATGACTCTAAGTGCTGCACTGCTGCTGACGCTCTGGAAACTATCACTTCACACCTACACTAACCAGCCTCTTCAGTGTTTTGCTTCTTTAATATTTCAGAAGAAGGAAGAACAATTGCAGTCCCCAAGAATTATCTAATTTTGCTCAATTTTAGATGTTAAGCACATAACTGAACACGTTATTAAGGTGTGTGATATAATAAAATGTCTTAAAAGTTACACATAAAGTAGAATATTTAAATAAAATGGCCATCTACTGTATATTTATAACGTAATTATGGCATCTTAAAGGCAGCATGGTGGCACAGAGGTTAGCATTACTACTTCACAGTACTGGGGCACTGAGTCCAGTCCCAGACCTGGAGTGCTATCTGTGTAGAGTTAGTATGTTCTTCCCGTGTTCTTGTGTGTTTCCTCCCACACTCCAAACTGGTAGGTAAATTGGCTTCTCGAAAATTGGCCCTGGTGTGAGTGGTTATGCATGTGTCTGCCGTGCAGTGAACTGGTGTCCCGTCCTGGGCATATCGTGCCTTGCACCCATTGAAGAAGGTGGATTTATATAGCATGTGAAATTGTGTTATCTTTAAAAAAACATTTAAGGAAATACAGTAAATATATTTTGCAAATGTTTAGTAACAATGCAGTTTATATTCATGTCGTGTAACAGCAGAATATCGTATCAACTCTTTCTTGCAACAGGTGCCTCTTTCTGTCTCTCTGTGTGCCAGAGAGGTCCTGTTGTAGCAGAAAAATATTGATATATTCTTTCTGTGCTCCAGCTGTCTGCTTTTAATTCATTCCGCCTTGTTTTTTTTGCCTGACCTACATTATTTTGTATTGCATCTGGTCCTGTCTGCACTTCAGAAGACTGTTATGCTTTAATGAACATCTGGCCAGCTGTGGATCTCTGAGTCAGTGGAATGTTGGACATGCTAGACTATCCAGATACTGACACCCCTGAGCTAGTATTCTGGAGAAGATGACAAGTCAGCACATGATGTTGTGTTTTGAAAAAAGTAAAAAAAATGATTTGCTGGACATGTAGAATAATTAGTGTTTATACGAGAGTGGGTGATATTGTGCGTCTATTTCCTTCTCACTAGCTTCTCACGGCAACTTTCTTATCTCTGCAAGTAGAAACATTTGAAGGTTTAGTATCTGCATGCGCAGTGTTTTCATGAAGTCCATCTTGTTTTCCAGACATGACATTTGCATCTACAAGAACAAGCCATGTGGAACGCTAGGTGGGACACGCACAGATTTTCTCTGCTATGTGAAATGTTTGCAGTGTATTTTTTGTAGTTGTGTAACTGTTTACTATGGAATCCTCCCTGTATGAAGACTTTAGCAAAAAATAATAATATTTATCATTCTGATTCTGATTTAGAATTTCCCGAACAATCTGAATATCCCTTTTATTTCTGTTAGATCATACATTTTAATTGCATAATTTCCCAATAGCCGTATGAATACTGGGAACGGATGTAACCACTCCCAGTAGGAAATGGGTATGATGGTGCTATAGCATTGTGTAAATTCCTCCACCAAATGGGCACCCACATCCTCTCGCTTTCTGACCAGCCCTGAATGTATCCTAGTGGCATTTTACCAGCTTTGACATCTCAGTAAAATCAAAGGGAGTTGTATAATTGTGGCTGAAATCTAGCCCAGTCATTGCTAATCATGCCGTTCTCAATCTTTTCTCCACTATCAGAAACACAGCACTGTGAAAAACAGTTTGGGTATTTCTTTTTTATTTCCCCTGTGGATGTTTTGTTGTGAGTCACAGTATCGCTGCTCACCATTAAGAAATGATGTCAGTGTTTGTAACGGGGTTTTCAAAAATCTTTGAGGATGGTCGAATGGTTTTCAAATCTAATTTTAGTTTTTTTGGTTGTATCTTTTTTTTTTGAGCTTCAGGCTAGAAAGTGTTTTGCAAAACCTGAAAAAAATATCTAGTAAAATATCACTGCAAAAAATGTAATTCAACCTAAATTGATAGCCTGAATTCAGAGGAGATTAATCCATAGTCCTCTTAAGGCTTTTATTTATAACCAGTTCCACCTGCTGCCTTCAACGGTTTATGTATTTTGCTTCTATCTTACTATTTTCTCATACCGTGGTTGTGTGACAGTGCCGACTGGGTGTTGACCCTGGTTGTGTGCCGGTGCTGACTGGGTGTTGACCCTGGTTGTGTGACAGTGCTGACTGGGTGTAGACCTGGTTGTGTGACAGTGCTGAGGCAATGTTGACCCTATGGCAGGTCTGGCCCCAGTCGGAGGAATGTGTGAACCTGAGAGGAGCTGCAGCATCAATGAAGACATCGGTTTGGCAACCGCCTTCACCATTGCTCATGAGATTGGACACACGTGAGTGCCCACTTCCTGTCTCAGGCACAGCAGATCGGGGGTGCTCTCAGGCCAGTCCTGCCAGGTACTGTGTTATATTGTAGTGTGTCATGTGACGAAACGCTTAGCAGGCCTGAGATGGTGTAGGACTGCCGGAGAACCAGAGAGCTTAAAACAATTGGCGATTTCAGAAAAAAAAAATGCAAAATGAAAAAATAAATTTTAGGAGTGTTAAACATTTCAGTTTCGAAAATGAGACGTTTTCTGTGAAAACTATGAAAGAGTCCAGGCTTAGCCCCATACTAAACATTTCATAATCTCAAGACGTGGACAGAAACAGTGAGAGAGATCATGTGACCTGGGTACCAATATTTAGTGACTGTGGATCACTGCCACTGGATAAATGCAAAACTCTTGTTTATACATGTTGTTAAACAGGATGCCTTGAAGTGTGTAGATCAGTAATAATTAGCTGAAACACTAGTTTCTGTGTTCTGCATTTCCTTGTGAGGAAAGTTTGTTTGATACATTGTTAGTCAGGAAGAACACACTTGGCCTTACATCTACAGTAGTCTCTCCCTTACTAGATTCCTAGTTTGTTCTTGTGATAAGAAACTGATGTTAAACAGACTAAGATTTATAAAAGTTATCTTTAGTGTCTGTCATACAAGTGTTGTGCAATATTTTTCTTTTGATTGAATGTCAGTTTTTAAAAAATTGTATTACTTGAGGAATTAAGGTTTAGTAAAGTCTTAGTGAAATAGACTGGATGGATCCTAATAGACTGGATCCCAGTTGATCCAGAAGAAAAGCAATGTAAATGTTGTTTCTGTTTTAATAAATTGGTAAATGAATATGCAATTGATTCTGATCAACTCCCTGGCCATTTCCATTCCCTGACCCTGCATTAAAATGTATATTGAAATACATATATTCAGCAATGTCATGACATACACTGATGATGTAAGACATATAATAATGCATTCATATAGTGCCTTTCATCGAAACAATCGCATAGCGTTTCACAGCATGCAATTGCAAAAATAACGAAAAATAAAGATAAAATTGCGTTTAAACATTAGAAAAAAACAGTTTATACAGTACATAAAAACTGTGCCTGAGTTCCTGATGAATATCATTTTCAGAAAGGCTTTCATTACGACCTGTAAAGAAACAGTTGTCCTGCAGTATTCCTTGGTCTATACTGTTTTGTACAACATGCACATCTGCACGGGTCCGGTTCTGGTATTTTCACAGCTGGCAAAGCCATCGCCGCGTCCTTGTAATGGCAAGTCCAGCTGCCCTCGGGCTGCGGGCCCCAGGCCTGTCTAGACGGCGGTCTGAGCCGGGCAGGTCCTCCTGTGTGTGGTCTGGAGGTCCACGGGGGCTGGGCCCGCTGTCTGTGGCTGGAAAGAAAGCTCAGGTCTCTGCTTCCTGTCGGGCTGTGCTGGGGGGGCGTAGCGAGAGAGCCGAGGGGTGCACTGTCAAGCACATGAGCAAGAAACCATCTGTCCAGGTCATGCCAGGAAGTACAAACACATCCAGGACTAGGCTTCTACATCATCGGGGCTGCTAGCAAAATCCTCTTCACAGTACTGAGAGAACCCCTTGGAAGGAACAAGTCTCAATTCAGAGACTTAGGAGTGCCCCATGGGACCAGGTTTGTGGTTTGAATAGGATGTTTGATTCGTAGCGTATTGTTACTGGCTTATCATACTAAGAACTAGGACAAAAAGACACCCAAATGAACGCCACTGAAAAAGAATACTCTCACCAAGTCAACCCTCTGCCTGTCCCAGGATATCAGAAGGCACTGCAAGGCACTGTGGTTGTGATTGACTCCTCGCACTGTGTGGGTAACGTACTGAAAGGCGTGCCTAAGCCGTGTCTCTGTACCCTCCCCGTTCTGGCCTCGATGGCCGTCGGGCCTGGCTCGGGCGTGTCTCCTGCCCTGCCCGCTCTGAGAGCTCTGCCTTTGTGCCGGTTTCTCAGGTTCGGCATGAACCACGACGGCGTGGGCAACACCTGCGGCCCCCGCAGCCAGGAGACCGCCAAGCTGATGGCCGCCCACATCACCATGAAAACCAACCCCTTCATCTGGTCCGCCTGCAGCCGGGACTACATCACCAACTTCCTCGAGTAAGCCTGGCGCCCTGGCGCCTCTCCCGATCCATTGTTCAAAATAAATCTGACTACGTTTGCACCTTTGAGCCTTTCTGTCGATTCCAATAATTTCAGGAGGTTTTAGAAGACCAGCTTGCAAGGTGGTGTGTGGGCTCGCTGCAGGAGAGTCTTGCCTGGGCACTGCTCGCCGGCCCCCTGTCTGATCCCCTGCCGTGTCTCTCTCCTAGCTCCGGCCTGGGGTCGTGCCTGAACAACGTGCCCCCGAAGCAGGAGTTCGCGTACCCCACCACCACCCCCGGCCAGGCGTACGACGCCGACGAGCAGTGCCGCTTCCAGTACGGGGTCAAGTCTCGCCAGTGTAAATACGGGGTACTCATCCCTCCTCCCTCCGTCCGCTCGTCTGGGGTGAAGCCCCCCCACCCCCCCCGCCCGCACGGGCCAGGGAAAGGACAAGGGCTGGGAATGAACCTCCAGCTCTGCTTGCCCTGACCGCCTGGCTGTCATGCCAACATTTCTGGTGGCATAATGAGGAAACAGGCAGTTCGGCCTAAATTAAAGCGTTTTATTCCTGTTGGCAGCTTAGACTGGTACCTACTGTGTAAGTCCTGCTCCTGCAGATTGCAGTACTGCTTTAGACAGTACACTGTATCGCAGTGTCCCCTGTTATCCTGATGTCTCTCCCAAAGATACAAGGTTTGCTTCAAAACAAGTCACATTTTTGAGCGTTCATGATGTTTGTATAGTGTGCTAACTAGAAACAATAGTACATGACAATTCAGTGCAGGTCGGAGACCGACCAGCGAACGGATAACAGCTTGGTTGAAAGTGCACAGGGATACAGAGGGAGTGTGTGTGAGCTGGCCTGTCTCCCGGGACAAGAGGAGAGGGAGAGGCAGTGGTGGGGGGCAGTCGGGCTGACGGACTGCTGCTTCTCGTGTGTTCCAGGAGGTGTGCAGTGAGCTGTGGTGCATGAGCAAGAGCAACCGGTGCATCACCAGCAGCATCCCTGCGGCAGAGGGAACCATCTGTCAGAGCAACACCATTGACAGAGGGGTGAGTACTGGCTCAGACCAACTCCATTGGCAGAGGGGTGAGCGCTGGCTCAGACCAACTCCATTGGCAGAGGGGGTGAGCGCTGGCTCAGACCAACTCCAT